GAAATAGGTTTTTCACTAAATAAACACTGTTTTTCTTCAAAATTTTAATCTTTCAAATATTTATTTTAATTGTTATAAATTAAATTAAATAAAATCCAACTTTGAAAATAGTCCATCTGTCTATGCTTTTACCTCCATTCCATATTTTATTACACGCATGTTACTATTAACAGTGGAAGGGTATTGTTTATTGAAAGAATCAAGATCATTTTATACTCGATCGACAAATTGTTTCTGGAAGAACAAACACCTGATCATCCATGAAGCTTTTCTCTTTTTCACAAATTAAGCCTATTCATTTTAATTAAACAAGGGAGACCTTCGTTGATTTCTTTGCCTCGTGACCTTCTTTATCTGCCATGCTCAGGAGTGGAGTGCTATCCTTGTCTTTCATCTGAAACAACACAAACAATACCATTTTAATTTCAGTTCCAAAATGTCTAACGCACGTAAAAGTCAAGATTTGTAACGCAAACACACACAGAGAGTACCTACCTGAGAAGCTAGAGAAAGGTCAACTGATTGTTTCTTTTTGTTGTCTTGGACGCAGAAATATGAATATAAGCCCATGCCAATAATAGCAACAAGTATTCCAATGATGTTTCTAATCGTGAAGGGATCATGCAGCAGAGTATACCCAAAGGCAAGAACAAGGCAGGTCTTGAGGTGTCCAAGCACTTGATATGTGACTGGTGAGGTCTTGCCAATAACCATGAAGGTGCTGAAGTTCACGGACACTGATATAATGCATGAAAGGATAATGAATGCCTGCATGGAATCAAATTATGCACCGCATGAGATCATAATCCTTGCACCCAAAATGTCTATGTATATAGATAGTCAGAGCTAGGAAGCATAGAAAAGAGATCAAGAGAGGATCTATACCAAGACTATTGAAGAATATTTGTATGCAAACACATTCTGTTTGGTGAGGAAATGATCTACAAAGGGGCCTGAGACAAAGAGAATGGCTGCTTGAAATGGGGCTGACTGGTAAAGCAGCTGTGTGGAAGACACATTCAACCTCTTCTGTATTGTATTTGTCAGCTGATCAAGAATTAAGTTAAGAATGAACTTGTCCCTATAGGAGCTAATGCTGAATCTATAGTAATAAGATTATTATTTTTATGTGAATACCGATGAGTACTGAGCTTAAACATTCCAACTTAAACATGTAATGTATGTAGTCATTGCCATTATATTTGCAAACAGTCATTAGAACAGCACTATTGGTGCTTTGTTCCCAGTAGCACTGTCATAATCTAGCACCAATTTGAAGCGAAAAACATTGATGGTGCATGCAAGTTAAGAAAGGATACAATTTGCCCAACGCAGGTTGTTACGATGGCTAGGAGAGAGAGAATTGTTCCAACGAAATTGAGCTGGAGATCTGTCACAGAGGCAATGCCAACTCCACCAAGCAACACAAGGAGTGAAAGCTTTATCTTCTGGCTGCAAGAAGTAGAAAATATAAATTTGCCAGTTAGAAACTTGGAGAAAAATCATTTAAAAATAATGCAAGCAGTGTGTTTGTGTGTGTGTGTAGATTGTAGTTGAAACCTGAATTGCTTTTTCAGGAACAGAGTTTCCAATAGGACAGTGAATGGTATGATTGCAAGTTTGGTCATCTGCAATATAAAGAAGAAAAACACCTCCAGGATGAAGATCAAGTAAAGAAGAAAGGCTAGGTAAACCACTTTGGAAGTCTCAAGTAGCAGTAAAATTGAAGTGTACCTGGTAGAAACCAATGGAATTGAATCCCAGGCTCAAGTTGAGAAGTCCGATAGAAACACCATTTAGAATTCCAAAGAGCATCACAGTCTTCATGTCAATGGCCTTGGCATCAAACAAATGGAAACGCTGTGCCGCATGAAGTGTGCAGAATGTTACTATAAGGTGCCAACTAGTGAGAGTTGTAGCTGTGACATATATACAAGAAAGAAAAAAAGAGAAAAACAGTCAAAATTGTTATATATATTAAAGCAGTAGCAAATCTTCAGATTGAATGCATGCCCTCTCCAAGAAGCTAACAAAGTTACCAAATGGGAACCCAAGATTGCTCATTAAAGCTTTGTTGCAAATGACAATGGAGACGGATGATGCCACTGAAAGAAACAGGGCCCCGATAACACCCAATTGGAAGCTCGACATTTCTCCCATCTTACTGAAATCAGACCTACAAAAAAACAATATAAAAAAAATGGAAAAATGAAAAAAGAGTATGAGAGATGCCATGCCATATTTCTAGCTAGCATGTGCTTAGAGCCAATATATCAATAAATAAATAGATTGTTCTATATATAATATATAAATAAATGTTCTTACATTCTAAAATTAACCAAGTAGGCAAAGTGTAAACCACTATAGAGAATTAGATAACAGGAAAAAAATTTCGAGGTTAAGAATAGCCAGGCTTCATAAAGGACAATTGCAATGAGTAAACTATCATATTGGTTAAGAATAGCCAGGCTTCATAAAGGAGAATGGGATGATAAACAATTGCAATGAGTAAACTATCATAGTAATCCTTGTGTTATTTGCCAAACATTAGCCAATCCCTTTAGTTTGAAAAACTCAATATTGAGTTTTCGTAATTTGTTTCTAAATTAGTTCTTCAATTTGATTTTTCCCCTGAAACATCCTCCATTTCAGTTAAATTTCCATGAGAAAAATTGAAATTGCATTTCAGAAATGCAATTTGGGCATTTAAAAATACAATCAATAATCAACTCTGGTAAATATTGTGCTTAACTCAAAGTTTTCGATATCATGACTAACTTAACAAAAGGGACTGAACTATAAACTCAAAACAATTCTGGTTGGTGAAGATGGTGATTGAAGGTTGTTGGACGTTCATTGTCAATGAAGTATTCAATTCATGTATGACACAAGGATGATGATAAATTGAATCTTTTATTTGCAAGCACCATTGAACGTGAGATTCTTGTACTTGGTTACTTGGATAACAAGGAAACTAAAGCTTAATATCTGTCTGAGTAATGATTCCAAGTGTTGATCAAATTAGCACACCAACTTTTGTTTCAGGAGGAGAAATTCTTAGGCTATATTGATCATGAGCAAGAAAAACATACATATAAACAAACTACCTTTAATGAAGATAAATTTGTTGTTGTTGTTAGGAGCCCTGGAAACTCACTAAGAAAACCAAGATGTTAACGTAAATTAATTAGAAACTGTTTATATGAATAGCCATGTATACAAACCTTGGAACTGATCCTTTTTATTCGCGTGGTGCTCTGTGTTTACAGGAATGTAGGGCTCCTACAACTCCATGCAATCACCGGAATCCGGCTGGTAAAATTGAAGCAAGATGTTGGAGATAGACTGAGCTGCTTGGATAGTGTGTGCGAGAGAGAGGGAGTTTGGCAATGGCGGAGCTTGTATGAGAATGCAACTTTAGCTCTCTTATATTTTTCGGCAACCAAGGTTGGTGCCTAACTTTATTATTATTATTATTATTATTTAAGATTGTTTGGTTTTGGGTTTTATTATTTTCTCATATGGTTTGATTTACTTCCAGAAGGAAGTAGGTTGAGGAAAAACTACAGTCAAACAAGGTAAAATCTTCAATTTCGAACGACCAAGAGACCGTTTTAAGACAGAAATTACTTGACATGCACTTTACAAAGGGTGTTCTGTTCTGGTCCAGCACATTCTTGAGTATAATAATAATAATGTAACTAGTCTTTTTAGCAGCATCTCTAAGCACTTCAGAGGAGGATGGTAAGCAATTCTTACCGCACAAAAGAATGGAAGGTGAGCTGAACATATCTTATCTGTTAGCAAGAGGTATCTGCCAATGTAAGCAAAAGATTTGGCACCCTCTACATCAATTAAGTGTTAGGTGAGAGAACTTACTTAAATCTCACTCCAAACAGGGCTTTTTTTTCCTGCTCTATTCCATCGAAACATCACCATCGCCAACCAGGCAAAAAGTTCTCATAATTCACCTCATTCTGACTTGAAACCCACGATCCAGTTGAATTTTGAAGACTCCTTGGCATTTTCACTCTTACCTCGACTTGGAATATCCATCCCCTTGAAGGAACACTCACAACTACCAGTTTAGCAGCACCTGTTCCAAAGTAACTCTGTCTAATGTCCACTACTTTGAGACAAACTTGATAGTATAAAATAAATAAATAAATAAATAAAGGGATTTAATGGGGTAATATATTAAAGGTTAGATTGAGGTTTTCTCAAATATTTGGAACACTCATACGTTGTTTTTGCTTCGAATAATTGACATCACAGTATAGCCACTCGAGCCATTGCAAAATTGTCAAACAATCTATTAATTTCTCTAGATGCTAGAGACTTCATTACCCACTAATCTCGATTTCCAAATTCATGTATGATTTTGCATTACTTTGCTTCTACAGTTATGTCAGGGCTCAAACCTACATGGCCGTCCTCAGTCATCGACCATTCTGATCTTGTAGCAGCCACTGCTTCGGATCCTGCTCCTTCGGGTAAAATATTCTGCCTGTCATGGGAAAATATTTCCGTGATGCATTAATGCATCTATGATGATCTTAGTAAAAATCATTGCTTATCGACAAATATCCCTTCTCCATTATGAAGACGTGAAACTTATCTAGAAAATGTTTTTTTTTTTTTTAATTTGCATTGTACAGGGGCAGGAAACATCTCCTCTAGTTTAAATACTAAAATTAGAAGAAACTGTTCAAAAATCCTTATATCAGTTTAAAATAGAAATTGTAGATGACGTTGGCCACTCCCCGTCAAATTTCACCGCCAAGTTCAAAGTATAAAAAGAAAGAATTACGCTGTCGAAAAGATTAAAAAATAATACCAAGTCAACAAGCATTGCATCTGACAGAAAATTGCAAAATTTCAAACATACCCAGCTCTTGTTTTTCAACGCAAGAAACGGTATTTATCACAGCTCCAAAAAGCTAGTGGAGTATTTTATAAAACTACAAAAAAAAAAAGTAAACAAAAGAGAAGAGAGCCCATTTAATCAGCCAATTCGAATTTCAAGTCAAATCATCACTGACCCAAAATTCACGGAATGATACACATATTTAATGCATTCCTGAAACCATTGCGGTTTTTGTTTTTTAGCCTCTCCCTCCGTCTACCATATTCCATTTAGAACAGGCTTGCCTTGCCTACCTAAGTCACAGGCTGTGGGCAAAAGGGACCACACCAAGGAACATGTCATCAAGACAATTTGCTATACTCTAGACCTTATCAAAGAATGGATGATGAACAAGTCGTCTGAAGACAACTTTCTATCAATTTAACTGAAAGGTGAAGTCCGAATTTCATCTCATGTCCCGATGGACAACAACAACAAATATGGACAGGATACTCAAAACGTGAAACAGAAACTAAGCATGCCACTTTAAGCAAAAGATCTTCTGCGGGTTGAATCTCATACACATTTCAGGGCCAAGTGAGATGCAGGGAAGGGGCAGGAAGAGTTAGGGCAAAAAAATCACCCCTTCTTAGTCTGAGAGATGTATGCTTGTTCAGCATCTGCAAGACGGCTCCGGAATAAAGACCACTCGTTTCTGCATCTTGCTCTCACCTGAAGAGGGGTGGAAAAGGAAATCTTATAAAAAGAATAAACAGAGAGAGAGAGAGAGAGAGAGAGAGGAGTCACTTCAGATCTTCGCCAATCTTGTATAAAAGGAAAACAATGATTGGTCTAACATGTGTGTGCATAATTCAAATTCAAAAGTGGATATGGATTTCACACTCATTTTGCTAAAGACACGCACCCCTTCCCATGGAGCTTTCCCCTTCTCTGACTTCCCCTGGACATTTTACAGAAAATTCCAGGGTGGTTAGACTACAAAAGAGAGACAAACTTGACAAGGAGTAGATAAAAATAAATAAATATAAATGCTTATATTAGCATCTTAAGAGGCATAGCACCTGGCACCAGAATTCATGCAGTTGGTGGTTTTGATTGCAGAGTAACAAATGAATTCACTTCAAAATAAGTTTCATCACTATAAAGCACGACTCACCTGGCTGCCAAGAGAAGGAATCACTTGATGAATAATCCACTGTGAATCAACCACTCCAATTTTTTCATGTGCAGGCTGTTGTGTGAAGCAAAAAAGGATTAATGTCATCTCAAAATGAAGGTTAAATAGCTGATCTAAAATATAAGACTTTTGTTTTTAGATAAAGGAGTCGGCAAAGTAGCTTGGATCTTGTGTGGTGAATATAAAGATCCCAACAAACTAGCTTGGATCTTGTGTTTAGATAAAGGAGCCAACAATTGGTTTCATTTAGCAAAATTACAAAATCCCAACTTCTGGGTTATGAACGGCCCAGTTTTCTCACACAGGTCTGATAAAAAGACACTAGGAGAAAGTTTATTACCATTGTTCAGCATAATGAGAACCCGCATTAGTGTTAACATGTGCAAGCGAGGGGCGAAGAGAGTCATTTATCATTTTTTGGCATTCAAATTTTTTGATTGTCTCTTATATGGGTTTGTGGAAAAAACTACGTCCGATGCCCTTGACTTAAGACGTGACATTGGCATCCACATACTTGATGTCTAGCATGCATGTGAGTGAATAGAAAAGAGAAATGAAATACACCCTGATGTCTTGCATGTATCTCTGTGAATAAAAAAGAACCAAATACCTTTTGTATATCACAAAAAACTAATATTCGACATGAATTGTTGCATTTATAAAACCAACACATGTTTTGAATAAGTTAAAATATGTTGGGTTTCAAGTGATATTGTGTACTCAAAAAGAGGAAGAAGGTCAAAACACCAAGTAGGCCTTCAACAAAAGTTTGATCCGAGTCTATGCCATACCACACAAACATCATCAGCATGGTACTTGACATCTTCTACACATGAAGGTTCACAAGAAAGTAGTTGAGACATAATTTTCCATTAATTGCAAAAACTAAATGAGACAATTGATGAAAAACACTGACCTCTACACATCTTCTGAGAGCAAAATCCAATCCCCATCCATGCACCAAATCATTCTAAAAGCATACAATTAAAACCATTACTTTAAAAGTCGCTGAAAAATAAAACACACGAAGAAGATGATTTAAACAGAGACTGGCAGCAATGCTATCTGCATGCTAACCATTACTTTAAAAGCAGCTGAAAAATAAAGCACACTGACGAAGATGATTTAGACACAGATTGGTGGCAATGCTACGTGCATGCTCCTTATCCCGTTCTATCTTCCACTACCTCCAATTTAGAATAGAGAGTTTTTTCCTTAAAAGATATGCACTTGTTGGACCATTTTCAAACTACCAACATTACAATTATGCATGCTGATCCCACAGGCATGTAATTATGCAAACAATTACACATAACCTAATCACAATCTTTGAACATAAAATACCTGAATCATGTGCCACACACAACGCCAAGCCTCACGAGAGAATACAGGTGCCATGATTTCCACAAAGCTGAAAGAAAATAGCATATTTAAATATCACACACACACACATAGGAAGTGAGTGTGTGTGTGTGCGCGTGTGAGAGAGAGAGAGAGAGTGAGAGAGAGTACGCAGCACATGGAGGCAAATGTGGGTCACTACACCAGCCTGGTTTCTCCTCTGTATCCCTGTTCATCAAAGTAGACAGCAACTCTTTATGAAAAAAGTTAAAAAAAAAAAAATTCAAGTCATATAAGACCACCCAGATCCAATAAAACACACACACACAGAGCAATCCTACTTGTGAACCTCTCTGTCTCCTCTCCTCTTCGTCATCTGCCATGTAAGTCCATTATTAGGCTCAAGACCTGGTTGAGAGATCTCCAGACCATGTTTCTTGACCAACTGTATATACCTAAAATTTGCATAGATGAATTAAAAGAAACATGTAGCTGTTGAAGAGAAAAAAAATTGAGGGAAAACGTACTTCTCTCCATTAAAATGTTCTACTCCAAGATCTTCATCCCATATAAAAATATATTCATAAGCTCCAACAATATCAGGATGCAAAAACCTTTTTGCATACCACCTGTAAAACATAGGCAGGTATGAATGGCAGAGCAGATTACAAAATTATCAGCTAAATGATAAGTATCAACATCCTCACAGTACAATGGATAACTAACTCTACTCAAGGGTGCATTAATAAATATGGTATGTAGCCTGTGTTTACAAGTTCTTAATAACAGATATTGCAACACTGTGCAGCAGAGCATAAACTTTACCATTTTGTTTGTCTCACTACACTAACATGGATTGCACTTTTTGACCACTCAAACTGGTCCCACTCGCTTGTCCGGCCATCATAGTGGAAAAGCAAAATTTGGAAATCATCAGAAAACTATCATAGAATTAAGAAGAAGGAAAAAAAAAAAAAAAAAAAAGGCTCAGTATCCATGGAAACAAGAACAATTTTAAAAACGAAGATTTGTGGAATGATCTTTCTGTATACCTTTTTAACTGCTGCGTTAATGTTGTTCCTTTGATCATAACCGACTGTAAATGTTAATAAATACTTTGGCTTCTTCAACATATCCTGCAAATTTCACTTGCTATAAGAATCTATTTCTGTGCTAATGATATCATTAACAGGAACTTACAATTCAGTATCCTATGATTTAAGTTTTATATTTGACAGTATGATTCAGAACTTATATATTGCATTTTAGATCTGCAATTTTGAAAATTGTATCACGTGGTTTGTAAAATCTGGCAGATTTATGATATTGATCTAATGTTATGATTTTAAGGATCCTCTATTGATCTCAAATAAAGAGAAAGTTTGACAACCTTGAGAGCCACTGTGACCTAATGGTTCGTATAGAAGAAATTCTATCTAAAAGCTTAGTCTGCTAATTGGAGGCCTAACAATATCAATATCCAACAACTAGATTTGCGCCAGAACTTGAATAAATCCGATTTGTCCATGCATAGAGATCATCCACGGCTCATCCATTTTGAAAAAAAACACATCGTCTATGGAGTGTAGATTCCAGTTTCTTTCATTTTATTTTAATGCATTACAGACAGATGGCCACCACCTATTCTATTACAGCTTACATTAGCCAAATGCAACGATATTAGATAGAAATGAATCAACAATTCAAAGATAATCCACTTGCTACCACAATCAATTACAATGAAAACTATAGAATGTTATCTTTTTATTCACAATTTCTAAATATACCTCACTAGGTTCACCCCATAATCTTCGCAAGTAAAAGTCAGATTCAGCCACAACAATTCCTGGAGGCAATAACTCCGCACCACGAGGATTTGTTGGAACATAAATCTGAGAGCAAGTAAACATGGCGCAAGCATATCATTGAATGAACATGAAATGAACAAAACGAATGAGCAGTTAAGCAACATAATTACATACTTACTTTAGTGACATTGCTGCCTGATCCAAGAGTTTCAAGTGATTTGCTTCTTCTAAATTCATTCTGATTTCACAATGGATAAATTGAGAGATAATGTAAGGCTTGAATGTATGTTAATCTGAAATAGAGAAAACTAACTAAACCAAATGGAAACTCCAGGATTCTCCCGGAATAAACTAGTGATCAACAAACCTTTGTATATGTCACTGCTGGAAATGATATACCAACAAAAAATCCAAAAGCAACTCCGACGATTGTCACGATAATGAGCCTGACACTATCATTTGTTTTCCTATAAACTCCACTGCAGGAGAAACTGGAGATTAATCAACCTAGATTAGCAAACTAATTATAAAGATACTACCTACATGAACATCATAGTAATCCAGACCTGCGATGTATAGTCCCCATCTCGGCACGTCTTACGATAGTCAAATCTAGAAACCAAAAATAAAATAAAAAAATTCAAATTCCTAGAAAAAAAATTAAAAATAATAATCACATTGACATCCTCCAGCACATTTTGTGAATCAAAGTAATACATTTCACACATATGAATGATTCTTCAAGCTTCAAGCCAGCCAAGCACACTTGATAACTAAAAAATCACACATGTAATATGCACGTTATTAATTTCATTTATTCTTCCTTTTTCTTTCTTTCTTTCTTTCAAATCTACCTGGAATTTCAAATTTAATGGAGAGAAATCCAAAAGCAGAATTCGAACTAACAAATCATTCAAAACAATTCGCAATATCACAAAATCTTGAATGTTTTAGGGTTCGAAGCTTACGCGATTTGATTTTATTGATGAAATGGCGAATTTACAGAGAGAGATTTGGGGAGAGTAGGTAGTCTGGCCTCGTCTCCTCCTCGTCTGGGACTTTTTTAAGTTTTTTCAATAACTCATAATAACACAAGTTAATTCTATTCCTTTTCTTTTCTTTTTTTTACAAATCTCGAATATATGTTCAAAATTATATATCAATTTTATTATTAAATTATTTTAATTAATTTTTTTTTGTGAGAATCATTAAATAAAAAAATCTAATCTCTTTAAAATTTATATGTTTATTAAAAAATATTATTTAAATAGAAATAAAGATAAAAAAATGAATGTAAGTTAAGACTTTGATTATTTTTTTTTTGAAAATTTAAAGATAAGTTAAAATAAAAAATAAAAATGAATGTAAGTTAAGACTTTGATTAATTTTTTTTTTTGAAAATTTAAAGATAATTTAAAATAAACTTATAATAAACTTAAGAGAATTATATAATGTTGGAAATAGTGGATATTTACAATATATGAAAGAGATAAATATGACATGAAAATAAAATAAAATATTTTTAAAATATTACTTATAATAAACTTAAGAGAATTATATAATGTTGGAAATAGTGGATATTTACAATATATGAAAGAGATAAATATGACATGAAAATAAAATAAAAAATTTTAAAAATATTTTTTTTAATAAAAGAGATAATTTTATGATACTAAGATGTCTAATCTACATTATTTCTACTTCTAGTATAATAAAAAAAATTATATGAAAAAACTTGGTTTCAAGATTTATGATTTTACACAGGATAGTTTTTAAATATCATGTTCATTTATAATAAAATATTTTATTTATATGATAGTAAAAATATTTATTTTTTTGAAGATAGATATTATTTCATTAATCAAGTTACGAGCATTTAATATATTTATACCTTATAATTTTTCATAAAGTGCTGTGAAATTTAATGCGAATCATTGGTCTATAAAGCTATTTATTCCACCATGGACATTTTTGTAACACTTTAAACAGAGGCAAAAATATTCAAATTTTAAAGAATTTATATTCAATCTTATTTAGATATTAATCTATTTGATTCATAAGGGAAGAACTTATATCATTATATTAATTTCAATTTAAATATTAGTTTAATTCACACTTCATATTCCTATAAAATATTTATTATTTGAAATAAAAAATAAAATCTTTGTTTATATATATATAAACTTTCAACTAGATAATGGTTTCTCAACTTTCTCTAAATAAAATCTTTTTCAAATATAAATATCATGGTTTCTTACTTCAATATAGTACAAATGCTTCAATTTGATATTCTTAGGTATTTTTTCAAAAAATTTATACATATTTCATAATATTATGCAGTGAATTCTTTAGAAAAATTTATAAAAGATACAATGAAATGTGATAAGTGAAATTTTAAGTAAGTGTTTACATAATATTTTTATATCTAAAGAAATTATTAATTCAAATAATGAATCATAATTGATATCAACGTGTTCCAGATTTCTATATATTTAAGATTTTTTTTAATTATTATTTTTTTATTGAGAAATAACTTATACATAACCATTTTATTTTTGTTTCCTGAACCCATAACGAGTTGTAAAGTTATCAAATCTTTAATGATTTTATCCATAATTGAGAAGTAATTTGATTGGTATTATCCATGATTTTTATCTTATATGCATTGTAAAGTATTATAAATTTTAAAAAAAATCAAAACCCTAAATTTAATGTGGGATAATCTAGTATTTCTGTATTTTTTCATTCATCCCTATCCAATCAAGAATGATCCTTTTTTATTTGGATCCGATTCCTATTTAGAATTCAATTTCAAATTTTTTTCTAAGATAAAAATGAAGAATTTTCAAATTTAAATTTAAATATTTTCCACACAAGATTTTTTTTCCATATCTATTATACCATCCTTTACTAGATGCTTATTGATAGGGATACATCCCGACATATCAAATAATTTGCTTTTATATATTTTGTAATTATAAACATATCTTACTTATAAATGAGTCTTTCTTATCTTCATAATTAATGGATTTATATAATAAAATATTACATATATAGTATTTTTCTAAAATTATCCTTTTGGTTCAAAAATGAATCTACTTCAAAATTATTTTGTTTTTTTATAATGAATTAATTGGTCTCTTTCATATGAATTCTATTTATTTAAATCTTTATTTTGAATCAATCATTGATTCATTCTATTTTTTCATTTTACAGTATTAATATAGACCATATAATCTTAGATAAATTGTATTCATAATGATAATTATTTCTTACCTAGTTTTTCATTCATTCATTATAAGAGTTAAATTTTTTAATTTGAACTGAAATCTTCCATAATCTTCAAAATAATTTTTTATTTAATTTTTAAGAAAAAAAAATGTTATATCATATTGAAGGACAAATCTTAACTAATATAGGTTAATAACTTGAACTTATGATAATTTGTAAAATATACATGCTTCTGATAAGGACGTTATATTATAAAAATGAGTTCTTATTAATATTGCTACAATTAAATTATTTTTTTAAATATATAATTGAAATAAAGTGAATTAGTATATTTTGATTTATTTTATTAATTCTTTTGTGATTTTATTTTTTTTATTATACATATAAATATATTTACTAATTATTTTTCTTAACTATTCAAGAAAAAAATATACATTAATACTTAGAATTATATATATATATATATATATATCCTTGATTTTCAATCAAAAAGTGAAAGCTCTTTTCTAGGAGAACCAAAAGGAAGTTCATCTTACATTCCTAAAACCATTAAAAAAAGAATTATTTTTTTGTCTTTTCTTTTTTTATTGGATCTTTATAAAGGAATTTTAACATAGATCTGAAATAATATTACAGTAAAAATAAAATCTTTATTTGAATATCATATGTTAATTAGTTTATTTGAATATCATATGTTAATTAGTTTTTTTATATATATATATAAATTGAACTCTGTTATAGGTACATATATATATATATATATATAAATTGAACTCCGTTGTAGGTATATTTAACATGCATTTTTATATTCCAATTCTTTAAATCCTTGGACCATTCAAGAATTTGAAATAATGACATTCAAATGATATTTTTGGCTATTATTAATGAAGGTAATATAATATATTTTTGAATAATTGATTGAATTACTTAAATATAATCTCTTATTGTTTGAGTAAATAACGCATTATTTTCATATGAGACGCTCCAAACAATTAATCACCATCGCTCCTCATTTAAGTCTCATTCACGCACTAGAAAAAACTTAGGCATGTGATAGGCTCTATAACTTTACAAGTTTACGAGCAAGAAGATAACCCCCACCATGTAAACCTTGAAAAAAAAAATAATCCCAAATATAAAAAATATTTTTGGTAAAAGACATGACAAAAAGTAGTCATATATGGTAGATAATTAAAGGGTAAATTTGTAATTTGAGAAAACAATTGAGCATATGAGGTGCAACTAAAATGGTAAAGTTGTAATTTTAGGAGACAAAATGCCTTTCCTGTTTGCTTTTTCTTCCTTTTTAGATTGATAGCATAAGTGGTTCACAAAATGTGTTAATTTCACAAATAACAATATAAATTTATCAGACTAAGAGAGAAATTAAGAGAAAGAATTATTAAAGTGGATTAAACTCTGATGAGTAAAGAGTTTCAAAAGAGATAAAGAAAGAGGTTTGTCTTTAAACTAAACTTTTAAAATCTATTAAATCGATTTATTAAAAGTATTGAAAAGGGATTTATAACTCTTTAATTTAATCATTTATCTTAGTTTTTTTATGAGAAATTGAATACCCCTCAATTGGGTTCACTTGCAGAGAACAAAAATGGTGTTATAAGTTGATTGAAAATAAACAATAAAAACTTGATTTTTGATTGGATACTTATAGGGTTTGTTCTATAAATTATGTATATGAAATAATTAAGTGTGCTGGAGATGAACCATGGATTCTCAAACCATGAATGGCCAATCATGGATGAGGGAATTTAGAGAAAATCTAAATTTTAAAATTAAATTTATGTATTATGGATGTGATGATATTGATTTATAGATTTAATTTTATTATGATTTTTATAAATAAATTAGTTTGTGATTGGGTTATTGTTGTTTTGGATTGAAAAGGTAAGGTATGTCCAAATGCTAAGTATATGATAGTTTAAATCCAATACCCGCCATATGTTTGATAAAATGTTAGATATGAATTGTTATCGATGAAAGATTTAGATTTTTAGATATTAAAATTCATCGAATGAAATGTTTAGAAATTTAGACATTGAAATTCATCGATGAAAAGTTTAGACATTGAGTTTTGTTGACTAAATAGTTATATATTAAATTGGATTGTATAAATGATTCATGTAATGCATGAATATTAAATCATATTATAGAAAATGATTACAGATAATATTTAGACATTAAACTGGGATATGCATTTAGTTGATGAAATGTTTGGACAATGAATTTGAATATGAAAATAGTTGACAAAAACTTCAACATTAAATAAGATTATAAAAATAAATAAATTGATAAACAAGAATGATAAAATAAATAAGAATGACTGAAGTTTGTAAACAAAAGTGATATGTCTATAAACTTTATTATGAAAGTGGATAAATAATATATATAAGTAGTTGTAATATAATGGTTGGAATAAATTGGGTGTTGACTTAGATATCTTTTTGTATATTAGAAGGGACATCTAAAATGAGACCTAGGAGAGGCTTACATAACAAGAGCATTAAGTATGTGTTCATCACCTTTCTTTTTTATTCTTAAAAAGTACTTTTTCTTAATTATATAAATATGAATACAATGTGAGTAAATGAACGACAAATTAATGAAAAGTACACAAATAAAAAATTGATTAAAGTAAACAAACTAAAAAAATAAGGTGAGGATAAGAATATGATTCCAAGTGAGAAACGAGGGTAGAAAAATGATGAGTAGATGAAGTATGATGTACGGGCATGAAAATAATGAATAAACAAAGTACAATACACAAATATGGAAAAGATGAGTAAAATTAAGTAATGTGAATGTGAAAATAATATCAAATGAAATATATAGTTAAGACTAGAAAATGGTATAAAATGA